ATCAAGCTGCCCAAACGAGGGATAGAAGACGTTCGCGCCAATAACAGGAGATATGATCTGGCAAACTGATTGGAAATTTGTGGGAAAGACCAGTTTAAAAAACGGCAGAAAGAGGCATGAAAAGTTGCAGCATACCAAGAATGGGCTTAACCTTGGAAAAATCAAAGGTGGCTCCAATTACCTCGACATTTAGCTATAGCCGACCCCGAAACCTGGAGAGCAGTCAAGTTCTATCAGAACCGAAAGTCGGATCGATGGAAAATAAGTCTCCAGGATTCGCCAATCCTACTCCACCAAAACCTGACAAGGGCCCAAAGCAGTCTAGCGATTCAAATACGAAGTGAGCACATGGGGCTCAACTCGTATTTATGCAGAAGAAGAGTACCCGGAGTCTACAGTCCAAGCTGTCCATGTTGCTACCAATCGCAGAACCCAAAGTACATGATTATGTCCTGCCCTCGATAGTCAAATGGAAGAGGAGAGATCTGGAGACAAGCGAAAGATCGGTCCTACGAAGCTATGATAAACAATCCTGGGGATATCAAGAGGATAACACAGTGGATCCTAAATCATGGTTGGATAGAGCAATTCCAGATGACAAAGGCTGTCGAAATGCCGCAGAGGGAATTGAACAGGTCATGCCTTTCTTGAGGTCGATAAAGCTGATGTGATTGGGTTACATGGAGGGCACTATAGTGTAACTACGCTTCCCAGAGGATACTTTAAAAAAAACATAGAAATTAAGCAGGAAGGTTTGGGGGGTTTTACCAAAAGCTTTCCTCCAATGTAAATTAGAAAGTATGATAGATACCTGAATGGACCCATAGGGCGCCAAATCAGGATAATTAAATCAAATCAAATATTTACGGGAAAAAACTGTGGCCCGTGATGCATCAACCTCGTGCGATAGTCGCCTGAGAGCTACTCGATTCAAACACTGCGATACTTCTTTTTACTTTAGGATGATCAGTTCGACACAAGGGGAAATCCATCCCACCGCTACTTTCGCGCGCTGTGAAGGTGCAGTCGAAGTCACGGCCTAGGATTAGTCTATACCTAAGCCAAGGGCACCAACGCACTACGCACGATATTTCGCCGACACATTAACTACGACATTCGATAAGTGTCGAGTTATCAGTGCCTCGGTCTTGAGGTCTTCGATACATATTCGGCTTCATCGGCTAGAGGTGCGGTAGCCACGCGGCAAGGCCAGACGGGTGGACAAATCTCGGGGTCTTCAGATAGATTTTTTGACGGATTCAGCGTGCAAATGCAGCAATGGAAGAAGAAAAGGTAGGCAAATCTACGGAGGCCTCGGTGGGCGAGTGGAAGGTTCCTCAAGCGAAGATAGGGATACCTGAATTAGATGAGGAGACGCTGGGACATAGTTAAGTTGGGTCAGAACAAAAGGGATGTGTAAAATAACGAGAAAGTTCCAAGGGATCGGGAGCGCGGTGACGGAGTGTGAGGATAAACTTCCGCTCCGACGTGTTGTAGTCGGGTTTTATAGACGGTTAGATCTGTGAAGCTCAAACACGCATTAAGTTTGAGGTAAGCCGATGATTCTAGTTTTGTTTTGTTCAATTACGTGCTAGTTATAGTGATTCCCGTTGCACTCCTACTGGCGCTTAAGCACGGATGGGGCCGGGCCGGATCAGGTTAACTACCATTTAGTACATCTACCTCGTCCCACCTAAATGACCGGACCACCTCAGACTTCACCCATGCGTTGAATCATGTCAAGCCCAACCGTCCAGAGAACCCGCTGTGTACACGCCGTAGCGCAATTTCCTCCTCAGCCTCGGCCACCACGCGCCCGAACTCTTGTCATCCTCATTGACTCCGAAATATAAGTTCCGTCCAAGATCTCATCGTTGCTCTAGCCTTGCACCTTTATATCGTACCGTTGGGTTGTTTTCGTCAATGGGGATTTGTGTAATCCCCTCAGTGCATCTTCCCTCTTCTTCCTCCTTTGTACACGTCCCGTTTCCATCATGACTTTCCTCATTAAGGCGTGTGTGGTTAAGTGACGTGACGAGTATAGAGCTGGGTCGCAGGTGTGAGATCGGCTGAGATATGGATTGTCGCAAATATTTAAGAAGTTTGAGAGATGTCGGATGTTTGAATACGACTCCCAGACAGACCTAGGCCCATTCGTGAATCGTATGTTGGTGGTGATGAGATTTTGTTCGACTTTGTTCCGGCTGTGAAATCTCTGACGACTGATTTTTCGACCAAAATATCGAGTGCAACTCCTTCAAGTCGAAAATGCATCGAATAAAATTCATCCCACCCTTTGTCGTGACTGAATCTCGGCTCTGGGAGAATATTTCACTCCCAGGTTCGTAGAGGGCACCACTGACAGATGTTCAGCCATTGTCCTCCCCGATGATCCTAGTGTCATGAGGTCTGTGAAATCCATGGTACTTAACCTGATCTAGCACGATGCCAGTCGTGCGAAAGTTATCTTGGGAGCGCGGAGGGTGCCGATTGCTTAGCACCTTAACATACAAATCAAATCTTGGGAAAATACTTTCAGGGGCTATAGGGCTCAAAATTAGGATAACCGAATAATGTTAGAAGCTAGGATAATTTGGTCTATCAAGAAGGCTACGACATTGATACACTTGAGACTGAAAATGATGTACTTAGTTTCACTTTGGTAGTTACTTAAAAGAAAGCGTTCTTCAACTTCAATGGCTGAGGGTTCATCGTTTCCCTGATAATACCTCAATTGGTGTTGGTATTACTGGGACAATCTCTGTGATATCACAGGTGGAGAGAATGGGGGTTTTTATCGGATTTTACTTGAGTATGCAGCTAGCTAGCTCTGAAACAATATGAGAGAAAATGTACAAAATAGATGACTCGATTTAAAGCAAGAGCACTCATACCTCGGATGTCATTTTCAAGTACCACTGTGAAGTTATGGTGGCTTTTTCTTCACCCCAAGTTAACCTTCATCCTCGAAGACTCACACGGCGAAAATTCGCAGTTTAATTCTGTCAGAACGGGATACCCGTCGGACCATGGCCCATGCAAGAGCTCACATAATCAAAAATGAATACCAGCTACTGCTCAGCGCCTCGGGAAATTTTTAGAATTTTGAATAAATACCTCTGCCAACCATCTAGGTGAAATCCTCCTAATCTCGAGGCTTCTATTCCAACCGCTTCCAAAGCATCCACGGCTTAATATCCCACCTATCCTTACTCTCAGACTTTGATTTTACACAGGAAGTTCCCATTAAACTGCTCAAGTTTAACGTCCTCTAATAATTACTCATCGACAACAATCTTAAGATAGAAGGTTGCAGGTATTGTTGTAACTTTTTCTGCATTGAATAGGGACTTTTTATTTTTGGTGTAATAAGGGTTTATGCGATATTCGACATAAACTAATATCGACTTAAATGGTCTTCATTCATTTCTTCGTGTTTTGTTTGGTCGAGAAATCTCTCAATTGGGGAGCTCTAACCAAAAGCAGCCCAGGATCACGTACTCTGTGACATGAACTGTAGTCTAGAAGTTATCGGTTCGACGGCTGGGGGTGACTGATTTTGGCTCTGAGAGTTAATTGCACTTTCAGGTTCGTAGGAAACATCATGTAAAGGTGTTAAGTTTTTCCTCCCCCCTCTGTAAGATGGTTCTGATCGCGAATGTAGGCAGTAAATCAACCGAAGCAATCGGGTTGAGTCAAAGCCCGCAACATGTTTGGAGTTAGGATTAGATCTCATTTGACTCGTATGCGCTGCATTCATCAACTTTTGAAATTCGATTCTGACACATTCGCACTCCTCTGCACGTGGAACCAGTTTCCCGTGCGTGTTTCGTGTTTCAACTGAGATTGAAATCTGGACGTCTTTCAGATTACATGGTCTCTCCTAGACATTGGTGCAAGTTTTTCTACCAGCAATGGATTTGATTGGTAGCAATACATCCTACCCAAATACCCAGCAAATAAGCTCCTTAGTTATCGGGATTCCGTCATCGTGTTGTATGGTCCCCTGGGCTATGCCTGGATGTCAAGACAATCGTTGCGGGAGAGATCAAGGGTAGCTCGACCAATGCGCCCCGCCTTGCTTGCACAATCAATCTTTATCTTCGACCCCAGAATCCAATCATCAAAATATGTGAAATATCTGCTTATTCGAGTGGTTAACGACTGTGATTCTTCATCTAGTTAGTTACATTATCTCCAAGATATACGGGCTTCTACGACTGTTATTATTTCGTAACTTTAAGAAGCCTCACAGACAAGTCTAAAGCCCTACTGCTGTTAGTGCATCCTGCGTAATTAATGGTTCGCAGCCATGCATGTAAGGTTAAGCCGGTCAAACCTCTCTCATTACACGAAAAACTGTTGTATAATTCTCAAGGATGTTCCTTCAGACTGATCCATGGAGACAAGCATACCAGAGCTTTGAAGGGACCTTATCCCCACGTGGCTAATCCATGCGAATGGAAAACAGAAAGATAGATTTCTCTCGTTTAATCGCACTCCAAGTATCACAGAAAAAATGTGCGCGCACTTCAAACGCTATTGTCCTGTGCTCAAAGCAGTTAACTGAAGACTCATGGTCGCTCGATGTTTCAAAAGCTCACATAAGCCACAGCACCTGTATATCGTCTCGAATATAAGCATTAGCTGCAGTCAAGAGGAAAGAATCTCCGGAGAATAATAGTACCAGGCTGGATCATCAAAAATTTCTCGATAAACCTTATTAGCCCTATTTTGCCATGCCTTGTCTCAGTTTAAAGCATGAATTAGGGGTCAAGAAGAAGTGAGGGTATTCGTGGCAGTTACAGAGATTAATCAAGTGAGGAGAAGCTCACGAACTTGACTGAGCACGACTTGTGAATTTCAATTGGGCATAGAGACTTGAAAATCAGACACAACTTCGAGGAAGTGAAAATAATTTTGCAAAATAATTTCTGAGATAATGTCCCAAACACACGCTAAATATTAATTCCAAATCAAGCTGCCTGCAAATACATGATATGGCCCGAAATATCTCAAGTCTCAATACTTTCGAACTCAGCTGCCCACACCAAGCTAGACAACATCCAAGCATGTCACTTCAAAAAAGATATCGCCAAATTAATCGGAAAATTCGAGGCCAGCCAAAACCCTTTACTAGGATTGAACTTGTCGGTAACGGCGCCCTGAGCAGTCTTCCAGCTGAGATAATTCAAAAGGTTGCCAAGTATTTACCATCCTCCTCGGTAGCTGTTTTATCCCTCGCCTCTAAAGCTATTCGCTATAAATTGGGAGCGAAATATCTCAGAACAGAGATCAAAGAGCCGATCGACTCCTGCATCAGCTATGCCTCACCTCTTCAATATTTAATAACAGTATATTGGGCCTACCAACGAATATCTTGGAACCATCACGAGCCACCAAAACTCCCCGAATTAAAAATGTTTCTCTTCCTGCTCGCGCGTGATTCGCCCAGTAAGATATTTTGTTTTCGATGTGGATACTTGCATTCACCCAAAAGATCAGACCAGGCGCAGCGATGGTGGCCATGGTCGTGGAAAAATTGTTTAACTTTCAATGGATCCATTATTCAAATGTACTATGGCCGACATTTTCACTTTGAAGGTGCGCAGCTTGCTATGCAGCAGTACCGGCGCGGAATTTCTCCCAAAAAGGAACTACGCCGCTTAACTGATCACAGTCGTATCTCTGAACTAGATTCTGGCTCTAGTTCCGGTTTACGAACACTTCGGAGTCTTGATGCTAGGATTGCTAGAAACCGATTATATGTCAGAGTCGTACGCGAGGCTTATGTATCGGACCTTACGGAGAATGTTGTTAGTGCTTCAATTGGGCAATTATATGTCTGTCCACATCTTACAGGAAGAGATCCACTCAGCTGCCGACTCGTTAAAAGCTGGGTACACATGGATTTTTGCAAGTCGCCCGCCGATTATCAGTGTGCATTTTGCAGGACGGAGATGCAAGTCGAAATCAAAGCTCCAAAGAGATTGCTAGCTAAACGATACTCCATAGTCATTAGGGTCTGGCAAGACTTTGGGACTCTCTACCATCCAGCTGATCTTGACTGGTATTCTCATCTAGATACTTTTGAGTCCTCAACACCTGTCGAGTTTCCTGTAGGTGGTATTCGGAAAGCATTCGAATACGCTTGAGTGGGTGTGATGCCCGCAGCATCATGTAATTCTTTCGTGTATTCTTTATCGGCTCGACAAATTTTTATTCAGGCGCTTGATACTTGGAAGCTGTAAGCTGCACGAGATTCCGATGCTGAGAGTCAAAAGATATCAGTAATAGCATAGGATAGATCCTCCAACTACATAGTCAGTCCTATTGGTAATCAGACCCACTACTACTACTACTAAAATTATCATTCCTAATAATTTATACTTGCCTAAAGATACACAACTAGCTCATGATGATTACGAGTTACAAGGGTCCATATCAGAGGTCTGATGAAAAATTGGCGCATCGACCCGAAATCTAAAATCCTTCTTTAGATACAAGCTACAAGGCGTCTTCCTATTATCAGAAGACCTTACATCAAAGATGGCACGGTGTTATACCGACTCTGGAAAGACAGTAGGATCTGTATCGGGTGAGCTTGCAGGTTAGCCAAGTTTTGTGATCTCGTCCCTCAGGGTAAGGTGATCACAGCTGGCGAACACATACAGTAATTTTGGAGGAAAGAGGATTATGTTCGTGATCTATTTAATCTTTTATGTAGCGGTTAGCATTAGTTTTTGAGACGAGTGGATGATCTGAGATTCTTGACGCATAATAAAGAACATGAAGTAATGTATAATATAATATTGAGTATCTAGAGCCCTTGAAGTATATTGATTTTTACTTATCTCTCCCTCTCCTTACTTGGCTTGGGGATACGATAAATTTATAAATTTTCACATATTTCTTGATGTTTGAGAGAGAGCTTTATGCTGGCTCAACGTCTCTTCTGAGCTACAAAAATGATCTACCAAAGTCGCTGGGCTAAAATAAATTTTATCAGCATGATCATTTCAACCGAGTCTAGGTTTTGTTTTTGATTGCATTTATTCTTTTCCCTTGTGCTTTTGCTGTTCTCCCACCTTTTGCCTTGTAGCTCACATATGAATAATAGTCCAAGGCTTCGAGGGCAGCGTCTTTGTTTATCAGTATTAATCTCTGATATTCTGGGCGACAAGCGTTGTCCGGCTGCCTGCCTCGCCAGGCGCCACATCAATAGCTTGAAAGAAAATGAGCAAGCGAAGAGATGTGCGCAAATTTATTGTGTGAACCTTCGTTGCCGCCAAGACTAATCTGCCGACGAATATTTTTCACTTCTTGCATCGGATTCTTTTTTAATGCAGCTCTTTCACTAGCGCGCAAGAACAGAGACAAAATAAAGAACAGATGACTTAATTTAAAGCTAGAGCACTCACGCTTTGTCTTTTATTTGCAAGTACCACTGCGAAGTTGTGGCGGCTTTTTCTTCACCCCAAGTCAGCTCTCATCCGTAAATACTCACCCAGGGAAACGTCTCAGAAACTCTGAGTTATCCGGAAATGTCTGCATCAATCATAAACTTTTATCCGCGCGACACATGATCTGAGGCGTCTCCTTTCCGAGTGGAGTTGGTGCCCGGCTAGTAAAACTATACGGGAAATCACCTCCCGTCGTTGGATTTTTTTTATAGTATCAGCTGTCCACTCGCAATCGAAAGCTCGGCGCGCACAGTGCTCTTCAATTTGTAAAACTCCTGGCCAAAAACCTAAGTCTCACACCGGAAGAGATTGTACTCTTACTTTGCATCATCTTGTAAGCTTGTCCTTATTTATCTTATGCCCATTCCAAATAACTGCCTCCTAGGTTTTTGCCCCACGATTTGTTTCTTCGGCGGGTAAAAATGTCGACATGGGCGTGTGTCTGGTGGCCATATGGGGCTAGAAATTGCGTCAATAAAAAGTGAGGTAATCATAGTTAGGATGAACACGATCGTATTTGTAGATTTGATATAGTTTTGGCGGATATCGATCTCGTTGAGAGGGAAATTCATTTGATAGAGAGTAATGAATTATTGCCTCGTAAGCCAACTTCTTTGGTACTCCGGAGTTTGACTGGACTTGGACTTGAAAGAAAATTTCCTCCCAGCTTCTTAAAGGGTACCGCAGACAAGTTTCCTACTTTTCCCTAACGATCAGGCATATTCATGTCGACATTCACATGGCCTCGAAACTCTCGCCCGTGTTCCTAGTCCACTAACGGCCCGGCAGGTGACTAATTTAGGAATGTGGAGTCTAGGATGCCTAATATTTAATCCTTGGTCCTTGATGATGGGGAAAGCGTAATTGCACGAGGTTGATGTTGATTACGTAGATCATGTCCCACCAGGCATCGGTAATTCTCTGCTAGTGACAATGGGATACACTGGGCAGCTAATCCCTAACTCGTGTCGTTCTGGATTGGCATTAGCAGAGTCGTGACAGCTAGGCATGGATCAGCGATTAATCTACGTGCATGTTACGAGTGATCTAGGCCAGTTGCCCCGGCATCCGCTTCCACGAAAAAGAACTATGCCGAAAGGCTAAAAAATTGTTGGCAGGGTCCTAATCTTTTAAGTACTAGGGTTCGCCTCAGATCATAAGTAGCGCACAAATCAAATGTCTCAATGCCAACATCGACGAGTGATAGCTGATGCCCGAAGCTGGAAGCCGTGCGGCGGATTGGAAAAATAAAATACCAGAGGGCTAGGCTGCAATAATAAAGCTTGCATTAGTGAAAATGTAGGCAACCTAGTTGATATTGGGAATTCGTCATTCGTAGGCTGGTATGACCAGTAATCGAAGTATTCTCATCCGACTGCTGATATGTTTCAGTGTTTTATCGTCTATCAGTTTGGCTTGCTTAACAAAAGAGACGAAGGAATTATCTGTGACTTATAGTTGTGCGGGAGACTGGGAAAGGGTGCATTCGGATGCTTCAGAGAGAGCAAGGCCCATACCACAGGCAAAATTCAGTCAGCCCTACTCGCGCATCTACACAAGACACGCAACGAAGTTTTTGCACTATCATTTTTCCGAAATGTATACATATGTCAGTATAAGGCAGTGAAACTAGGGTTGCTGTTTACGTTTGATTATTTCTATACTTCCTCAGCTCAAGAATATAGAAGTAGTTTAACATCCATAGGCAAAGAATACCTACGCCGCAACTAATGTATCCTCTCCTACCCTAGCTTCCCTTCAATTCATCGTATCTTTTACGCCCCAAGTCAGACCGAGAGTGGTGATGAAGTGCCGGAAAATATTGGATGGACATGGGGGCAGCATAGCAGCAAAATGGAGGGCAAGACTGGACACCTGTACGCGGTGTCCTCTACGAACCTGGGAGTGAAATATTCTCCCAGAGCCAAGTTCAGTCAAATTTCGCAATATCAAAGAAGTTGGCCCACGAGGCAAAATTCCAAATTACTCATCCACGTCGTTATTTCGCTCCCAACGAGTTTGACTCCTATCTTCGTCTCATCGAGCCTACAAGTACGACCAAGTACATCCTCATTCCAATGACCACACCACTCTTCGACCTTCTCTGGCCTCAGCTGGTCACCAAATACACGCCCATGCTGATATTTACACCCGACGGAGGAAGCAAAGCGTGGCGCACAAATCTGGGAGATAGCTCTTCGGGATGGACGTGAGAGGGATCAGGACAAGTTGACAAGATGATACAGAGGAAGGATATAATTTCGAAGGGCATGAGATTCCGAATTTTGGCAAGGAGTTTTCACAAATTGGGCTTTGTGCGCGCCAAGACTTCGCTCGCGAGAGTGCAGCTGACACTATAAAAACAAGCAAACGATGAGAGGTGTTGTGGTCCGCCTCCTGGTGGTGTTCTCCGGTATAGTTTGAGTAGCCTGGGCACCTAATCCACTTGGGAAGGAGACACCTCAGATCACATATCGCGCGGAGAAAAGTTGAAAGATGATGGAGGCATGTCTGGATAACTCAGGGTTTTTGAGATGTTCCCCTGGGTGGGTATTCATGGATGAGGGTTGACTTGGGGTGAAGAAAAAGCCCCCATAACTTCGCAGTGGTACTTGCAAATGAAATCTGAGGCATGAGTGCTCTACTTTTAAATTGAATCATCTATTCTATACTTTTCTTTGATATAGTGTCATAGCTAGATAGCTGCATACGCAATCAAAATCTGATGCAAAAAAAAAAAAAAAAAATAGCAGCAAAATCAACTTCTTTCGAGCGTCTTGGGAGCGATTGATTCGGTGGACGTGTTAGTAATAGATGACTGATTGGCTAGTATCGGACTCAATCTCGAGTGTGTAGATTCTTCAGTAGGAGATTGAGGCTTGTAGGGAATTTCACGCGTAGATTTTGGTACTTACACCCTTTGATTTTCTAATCCACTTCAGGTTTGGATAGTTGCATGGATGACACTTTCCGGCTCGGCTTTGGAGTTTATTGATCAACATTAAACAAATGATTGATGCCATGTTTTACTACACAAATTTTGTTGTCAGGACTTAAGCACTAGTGCTGGGGAATGGAAATAGAGTGTAATGAATTGTATATATTATTCTTCCATTTATCTAGGGTGTATCGAATCTCTGCAGATAAGATGGGACGTACAGGCCTATCGGACTAGTCAGCTAATATTGTCTGCAGATCCTAATAGCCTGAGGTCGCAACATCCAACCTGAGTGGGACCAACAACTTGAGTCTATGATTATCTAGCACATTGGGCTCTTCTTTGGCCGAGGCCACACCTTGAACAGTGCTCCTTACCTTTTATGTTAATTCAAAGATCATTGATATATTGCCCGCGATGAATGGTCATTCAGCTCAGTGTTCAACAGTGGAATTCAGCCACCTTTTCCACGGAATCTTCTACCCCAAAAAAAATTAAAATAAATATATAAATGGCGCTTTTTTTTGCATTAGATTTTAATCACGTGTGCAGCTATCTAGCTATGATACCATATCAAAAAAAAGTACAGAATAGATGATTCAACGTAAAGGAAGAGCACTCATGCCATAGATTTCATTTGCAAGTACCACTGCGAAGTTATGGTGGCTTTTTCTTCACCCCAAGTCAACCCTCGTCCGTGAATACCCACTCAGGGATACGTCTCAAAAACCCTGGGTTATCCAAACATGCCTCC